GGCGGCCATAGGTAGTTGAGTTAATGACGATGTGAGTGGCATGTCTCTAAGCGGGTCCTGTTCAATGAAGCATTATTGTGAGCGGTGCCGTTTAATAAGGCCCGGTGAATATGCTTTACCATTATGTCGAAAATTGTAGAGAGGGATAAGTAGTGTTTGTCTTTCTTCGAAGTTTGCGCCATGCACTTGTCTTTCGACTAGAATCGTAGACATGTCTGTGAAGCAGGAACTTCTGAAGGTCTTCTCGAAAAACTGGGGCGCATAGCGCTGAATAGGTTCAGCCCTCACTGTTGAGTCCTTCACACCACATTCTATCACTTGGCCATGATTAAAAGTTACGGCAATTCTACTTCTTCAGCTGCCTCCTCTCCTAGGGGAGAAAGCGCTCTGGCGATTCGAATGATCACGAAATTTTGTTTGTTACTGTTCTCGAAATGCATCTTTTGTATAACTTTGTTGACACTATCGACCATTCGTCATTAATATTTATTGAGCCCTCTAATTCGAGGAAGAGCATTGGATTGGGATGATTCCTTACCAAGTGCTGTCGCTGTCATGTCTTTGGACTTCGGGGACTTCGAACTTCGGGTACCAAGGATAGTCCATAGGATCTAAAAATTAGAAAGTCACGTGCTGTAAGAACATTGACGAAATGAAACTCATGTTGAAACTAGAAATCTTCGTACACACCGGGAGGGTGAGGAAAGGGTTTGGTGGAACATTCGCACACAACTGGTTCACCCTCATATTGCCAGGGTTCGGGTTGTGGAGGCGATGGAGCTGCAACAAGTTCAATAGGAAAAACGTGACAAATATGAATTAATGGAGCATGTTGAACAGCAGGCTGTGCCATCATCGAAGAACATGGTACCCATTATTTGATATCTTAGAAGTTTCGGCCTTGCTGAAGGTAATAATAAACAAATTTGTTTAAATACTACTTATAACTACGTTGCACTTCAGATCGATAAACATATCAGTAAGTTCAGCGATGTATATTTTGAGATTGTCATTGTTACTTACCTTCTCATTCTGGTAAGTTCAATAAAGAAAGAGTAACAAATCGACAACAGTGGAATATACTAAACAGTAGTCAAAGAAATTGCAAAGAATTTAAATAAAATGGAGCACTAAAATGAAGAAATGATAGATACGGACAAAAGGATGGTGACACCGGGTTGCCTGAAGGCTTGCAGCGGTGTTACAGCGTATTTTTGAGTTCAAGCTCGGTATGAACTATGTCGGATGATCCATATATTTATAGAGTAAACAGCTTATTTTTGTCTTCATTATACTTCTAAATACTTATTCTTGGTATCTGTGCCACCACTATAATGACCATGGTATCCATTAATTTATACCATAGATTTGCTAGCATTACAGAAGTGAATACTCGATCAATTCGCTTTAAAAACTATCATAACTAAACTGTTATTGAGATGCGTAAATATAACGGTAGATTCGACACCATGTATGTTAAGGTTGACTTCGTTACTTACTGGGATGAGGAATGGGGGTTTCACGGTGTTGTATGGGTGGGAAAATCGTGAATGGTGGAGGGGGTGTAGGAGCCGGTAGAAGAGTTGTTTGGCCATATTGGACCGTAACAACTCCAAGTAGGCAGATTGCAGTAATGAATGAGAACATCCTGAAAAAATCTTTTTGTTTTTATGGAGAATGTCGGGTTAAGTCGAATTGAAAAGATGTAGATTAACTTTTGAGGAAAATAAAATTAGTGGCTTGCTGGTACAGTCCTGATCCTTCGTCCCTTTTATACCATTCGGAACTGTTCTCTAGAGTGATTCGCTCCCTTTTTTTCCATTACGCAACACCAACATCTTTGGAATTTGTCTATGTTAAAAGGGAAATGTCACCAAAACAGAATCAGCACCTGCCTTTGGTGCTTCGACGTTTAGACACCCAAGAAATTACTGTTTCTGGATTTGCGGGAGGATGGAGTGTTAGGAGAAATAATGAAGAACAAGTACAAGATGCAACAAGATCAAATACAGTACTAAGTTACTGAGAGGGAAAACAATTGATATCTGACAATGTGTGCACTGTGCGATCGTAACTGTAAGTAATTGTGCAAATGTTCAAAAGGTTTCTTACAAAAATTTCTGTGTTTGTCTTCAGTAATTGTTGTACAATGAATTAACTAAAAGAAAATGTGTTTGTTTACTTGCTGATGAACTCCATGGATAAGCGAAGAATTGAAAACCTTTGGATTATCGGTTTTTATGCCTAAGTTTTTGATCCATCCAGGAAAGCCAGCGGAATACGCAGCAAGCATTGCAGCAACAGCAGAAAACACTTCTGCAAACTTCCAAAAGTACTAATAGGCCAGAAGTAGAGCTGGTACTGTTTTTTCCATTCAAATTGAGTAGTGAAGAGCGTAGCAGCACTCGTCATGCTTCTGACCGGTTGTCTGAATCAATTTCAACTCTACCTTTGAATTTTTAATATTCTTTTAAAGTTTGAGATGCATCTATCAAGTCCTTTCCGAGTGGTTTCGAGCAGTTCTCAGTGGGTTCTAGCTCTAATGCTATTTTAATCGATTCTCCACGCGAGTATTTATTGGAAATTGATAAAGTATTGTAGTAGTTCAAGTCAACATTTCGAGGTTCACATGATAATGGTCGTACGATCCCTTATACCATTACAGTCCACCCAGATTATGACTATAACCAATTTTGATCTTTTCAGGCTCTGAGGAAGGCGACATCGTCGAAACGTCAGCCAATAAAGTTTT